AAAGACTGTTTGTTAATATTCCCAGGAAATAATCATATTCTTAATAATAAAAAATATATTATATACTTTTTTAAATAAGGAAATAGATTTAACAAATGCATGTTAATCTTTCATGAGGTCTTTAAAAAATATGTTATGCAAAAGAAAAAAAGAAAAATACACAAAACAATTAACTCTAGATTTTTACACTGAATAAACATACAATGGATTCTTTAAACATTGGAAAGTTAGAAAAAGAGTGTATTTATTCTTACGTTCCGGTATTTGTTTAAGCAATTATATATCAATATAAGAATTAAGATTGAAAATACATAATATAATGAGACCAACATTCTTTTAATAAATATATCTGAATTTATGAAATTGTGTTTTAAAATTAAAAATTATTATGAAATGTGGTTCCTTCAACCAACATACGTAATAAATCTCAAGACTTTAAACCTTTTTTGCTACCTAAATAAATGTTTGTTGCCTATAATTCAGAATTTTATCAGATTTCGGGATTTTTTGCTTAAAATTGTTAAAGCATGGGTCCCTTTTCAAAAGTCTCCCAACTACTACCTCGCAAGGTATTCTTGTTGGCATGCGTTTATATGCCTTTTTTTACCTCGTGTGACTCAATTTTATTAATGAAATCTTTTGTATCTCGAATGTAAAAGTTAATTAAGCCTCTTCAATAATGGTTTTATAATTAGATCAAGAAATCTCTCAATGCGTCTCGTGGGAGAGTTACACTTATTGATAATTGGTCGGTAAGGAAATTTAATGTCTCCTACTATCTGACCAGTTCGCAATGCATCATTAATTATGTCTAGATTTATTTTATAAATTTTTAAAAAAAGGTACATGTGTCCATGTTTTGAATCATTATCATTCTTTAAGAAAGTATACGTCTGGGAATCCATTTCTTTTTATGCCCCCTACGTAGCGGTGGGGCATTACGTTTTACCCTTAACTGAGTTGGTTTCCGTTCTCTAACTTAAGTTTGCCTCAAACAAATGTTATGAAACTTATACACAATGCTTATTACCACAAAATACAGATCAAGTTTGAAATTGGTGGCGTCACTTTAACCGTTCTAGAGTTATGCTCCTTTTCAAATGAAAATTGCTGAATTTTTCATTTCCGTTCTCTAACTTTAGTTTTCCTCAACCAAATAGTATGAGACTTATACACAATGCTTATTACCACAAAACACAGATCAAGTTAGAATTTTGGTTGTGTAACGTTTACTGTTCTAGAGTTATGCTCTTTTACAAACATAAAAGTTTCCGTTCTCTAACTTAAGTTTGCCTCAACCATATATTATGAAACTTATACACAATACCTATTACCACAAAAGTCAGATCAACTACAAATTTGGGTAGTGTCACTTTTACAGTTCTTCAGTTATGTCCCTTTAAAACTTTATATGATATGCAAGCAGGGGCATAATGTATCATGTCCCATGGACACATTCCCTTTTTATTTTCATCTCACTTTATAATTAACACCACTCTCATATTGTCATGATTTAAAATAATTTAAAAAGAAAATATCATCCTTCACACACATGGCCATGAAACCACTGAGATATAATTTTAATTTAGTTGAATTAATTAATAGCATAAAAAAGTTCTAAGGTTCACGTATTGTCTTTTTTTTTCAAAAGCAACTTGTTTTAATCTCAAACCCTCTGCTGTGGGACCCCTCCCCTTCCCCGCCAACAACACACTTGTCTCGCCTTCTAATTGACTATCTCATTAAATTGTTGGAATATCGCTTGTTTAGTAATTCCCCTGGTTAAATTATTTCGTTCAAAGTACTGCGTGAGTTTTTTCATCACGTTGTGTCAACCTTCCTCTGTATCGTTTGCTACTCAGTGTTTCTTTTGAAATTGTTTCGACAATTTAAAACTAGGAGAAGATGTTCACATTTGAAATCCTATCACTTGATTTGTGGATAAAAATTTCAAGAGGTCTACATCGTACTGATTGGCAGAAATTTCATAAATTTCGTAGAAATTTCTATATGCAAAATAAACCACATGTGGTCCTCTGCTGATCGGTAACCCTTCAGTGGCTGTACACTTACAGTCAAGAGATTGGAAAGCTTAACATGTACAAAAACATTGGGAGCACAAAAAACGTTTTAGAGCGATCTGAACATAACAACAAGCAGAAAAATAGGTTATATGACCTGGTAGGTTTAAAAAAAAAAGTACAAATCAGATACTAAAAATATCAAATAAATATGCCGGTAATTTGGCATATCACACCATCCAAATGAAATATACTACAAACAATTTGACGCTTGCTTGGTACGTTTATCATCATTTTACTTTGGTTAATTTCATACAATTTGATAAATTTTCAATTCTTTTTTTGTATTTTTTTATAAATATGAAGATAAGAATATGTGGTATGATTGCAAATGAGACAACTATCCATCAAAGTTCAAATGAAGTGGATGTAAGCAATTATATGCAACAGTACGGCCTTAAACAATGAGAAAAACCCATACCGTATAATCGGCTATAATAGGCCCCGACATGAAAATATGAAACAATTCAATTGAGAAAACTACTGGCCTAATTTATAACAAAACAATTTATGAAAAAACAAATATGACGGACATGACCGAACGACAAAAAAAGCTTCAAACCCTTTCTTTAAGGATTGGTTGTTGAATTTTAGGCTTCATTTGATAACATTGATTTCTGTGTATTCCAGCATGAATCATATATCGACGATTTACCAAACGTTTTATAAATAGAAATTATCCATCAAAGCTTTTCGAATTGCAACAAGTTTGAGTTTCTCAGTGCTGACCGGTGGAAATCAAAACTTAATGACAAAAGATATATTCCAAATTAACAAATTCTACAAGGCTAGTTTGCCAGTCCTGAGGGACAAATGGCTGATAATTTTCCTGAATATTAAAAATTAATATCTTGAGACATTTCATCTAGAAATTCTGATTCAAGATTCTTATTCAATTTTTATAAGCTTTTGAATAGCCGTCATATCATAATACCAAATAATAAGCCTGTTATCTTAGATGAGTTATTATAATGCTTCCTCCAAAGTCTTTTTATACAAAACACCTTCTGGGCCCTTGATTTTGGCCAGGGGTTACCATTACACTGGCTGGAGGTACATGCCAAGTAAAAATGTGCAAGAAAATTAAAAAAAATGTATTTAGGAGATTTCAACTAAAAATCAAATTTTCATACTAGTTACAGCTATCCTGAGCAACTATGACTTGACTTTTGACCTATTGACCTAAAACCATAGGCTTCCTACCTTTTTTCCTCCTTCAACAATTTGTATAAGTTTTATAAACATCCAACATAACCCAGAAACAACAAATTCCAAACAATTTTTCATGATTTTCAGTCTATTTTTATCAACTGTGACCTTTATCTTTGACCCATTGATCTAAAAATTATAGGATTTTCTCTTCTGTATATTTTCCATCTATACAAGTGTTTTTATACACCATAAAATGATACTAAAATTACCATCCAGAAACAAACTTTTAAATTATTTTTTTAGTAACAGTGACATTGATCTTCAACCCATTGACCAACAAACCAATAGGCTTCTTTCCCTTCCCTATATCTTTTATCTGAGCTCCATTTCAATCAATCAAGGGAACCATCCGGAAACATGATTTTCGAGAGAAAAAATGTTATTATTTTTAGTAAAGTAGAGAGGCGGAAATTAACAAAGGATTATAAACTGACAAAAAAACCCGAAAAACTAACAAAAGACAAACAACAATCTTAAAACACAAAACATAGAAAACTTAAGACTGAGCAACATGAACACCTCCAAAATCCAGTGGTGATCTCAGGTGCTCCGGAAGGGTAAGTAGATCCTGCTCCACATGAGGCAATTCGTTATGGCGTCCGTAAAATTTTCGAAAGGATGACTTCAACTTCATTAATTGGAACCATTGCTTTAATAGCTTCCTTCTAGGAAGCAATACTCTATCACGGAAATCATGATAGGAAATGCAAACTCTGGAATATATTATCAACTTGGAGATTATTATCTATATACAGACGCTGCTGGAATGTTGCTACATAGTAACAGTGATATTGACCTTAATCGGATGACATTAATTCAATAGGCTTCTTTCCCTTTCTAATATCTTACATCTGCACAAGTTTCATTCCAATCATTCCAGTGAAACTTAACTTTACCTTCTGGAACCAAATGTTTGTCAAAATATATATTTTGTAACTGTATCATTGACCTTATGGTCATACTTATAAATTGACTGTTTAAACAATTTAGAATTTTACGAAATACTTAGAATTTTCTACACAGGGAATACAATACCTTAGCTTCATTTGGCAAAACCTTTCGGAAAGTTTGGTCCTCAAATCTCTCCCATTTTGACTTTTTTGATTCGAGCGTCACTGATGAGTCTTTGTAGACGAAACGCGCGTCTGGCTTTAAACAATTTAAGCCTGGTATCTGATAAGATGAGGTTATTTCTTTCCATATATCTTTCATCTGAATATTTTTCAATCCAATCAAGCAAGGGAAACTCAAGATACCATCCGGAAACCATATTTTATATATTTTTTTTATTTTAAGTAACAGTGACTTTTGATCTATTAATCTCAAACAAACAGACGACTTGTCCCCTTCTATATATCTTCTATCTGTGTAAGTAGCATTCCAACCAAGCCAGGGGTTCTTAAGTTATCATCTGGAAATAATTTGTATTGGACACGAAGACGAAAGGAAAGACAAAAGAACAAAGCATTTGCTTTATGCTCTTCAACTTCATACTTTATTTAGCCTTTTTAACTTTTTTAAATTCAAACGTCACTGATGAATCTTTTGCAGATGAAACGCACGTCTGCCTTTCAAAGTTTTAAGCCTAGTAAGATGAGTTTTTTATGAGCCCGAAATTTTTTCAGGAAATCACAAAAAGGAAGTCATGAATATAAGAGGTGTGGGGTTATTGTCAATGAAACAAAATACACAAAGAACCAAACTCCATTTAGATATCTCAGATACTTTTTTATTTTCTAAGAGAACACTTGAACTTCCGCAAAATTTAGTATTGTTTCTTCTGTATTCTGGTCCTTCATCATCACCTTTACGTAACGTGCTACCATCGGTTCTCTGCAGGACATATATATTATTTCTCCTTTTGTAGCTGTTCCTTTATAATACCCACAAAACTTCATATAAGCTAATGAATATCCAATGGTAACTTCTACATTGCGGAATCTTTTACCTACAAAAATATATAGACCACACAAATCATTCATTAAAATAAATAAGTAGGATTCAAAATGGCAACGGTTTCATGTTTTTTCTTGAGGTAATTGTACTTCCTCTATACGTGTATGTTTAATAGTATTAAAACATTTGACTTTTCTACACTTTACACAAGTATTCCCCATACCAAACTAAAAGACAAATTGAAAGAGTTGGTATTACTTTGTTTCATTAAAAAGAATGGCGAACGTAGATACAAGTATCTTGTCTTGGGGAGGGATAAATCCTACTTTGTAAAGAATCACTCTGATTCAAACAAAAAATTCTCTGAAACTGACATTATCAAGATGCTTGATTTCTTGATTGACAACATATTTGTTACGTTTGGAGGACGTGTTTTTCAACAGACTGTCGGAATTCCAATGGGAACCAATTGTGCCCCTCTTCTTGCCGACTTGTTTCTTTATTATTATGAGGCTGACTTCATACAGGAGCTTTTTAGGAAGAGAGATAAGAAGTTAGCAATATCCTTTAACTCTACGTTCCGCTATATAGATGATGTTCTCTCACTAAATAATACAAAATTTGGTGACTATGTTGAACGAATCTATCCCATCGAACTAGAGATAAAGGATACTACAGATACAGTTAAGTCTGCCTCATATCTTGACTTACATCTAGAAATTGACAATGAGGGTCGGTTGAAAACAAAACTTTACGACAAAAGAGATGATTTCGGCTTCCCAATTGTGAACTTTCCATTTCTATGTAGCAACATTCCAGCAGCGCCTGCATACGGAGTATATATCTCCCAATTGATACGATATTCCCGGGCTTGTGTTTCCTATCATGATTTCCTTGATAGAGGATTGCTGCTCACAAGGAAGCTATTAAACCAAGAGTTTCAAATGGTGAAGTTGAAGTCATCCCTTCGTAAATTTTACGGACGCCATCACGAGTTGGTTGACCGTTATGGAATAACCGTTTCACAGATGATATCGGATATGTTCCTTATGTCGTAACTACAATACCCTTCCCTTTTCACGAATGTGACTTACCGAATTAGACTATTTACCGGATTTGTAATAACATAAGCAACACGACGGGTGCCACATGTGGAGCAGGATCTGCTTACCCTTCCGGAGCACCTGAGATCACCCCCAGTTTTTGGTGGGGTTCGTGTTGCTTAGTCTTTAGTTTTCTATGTTGTGTCATCTGTACTATTATTTGTCTGTTTGTCTTTTTATTTTTGGCCATGACGTTGTCAGTTTGTTTTCGATCTATGAGTTTGACTGTCCCTCTGGTATCTTTCGTCCCTCTCTTTTTTTTTTAATATCGTTATGGCCACGGTAATAAAGTATAGTTGTTTGTTGTTTTCAAAAAATGCTTGAAACCTAATTTCCCAAAGTCTAAGTCTTATTGAATATCATGATCATGTTTGTACAATTTAGATATGAAGCTAGTATACCGATATTCAAATATTTGTCAGGTTTGACTAGTTGTAAACATCTTCTGCTAATCATGCACCACTGAGTCGTCTCACTATTCTTATGTCACACCAAATAAGTTCCAAAGAAACAATCTCCGGCGCAGAGATCTCTTTCCGTTCCGTTCTATATTACGTAACACTTCACTCAATACTTGTATTAAGTGAAGTATTAAGAAGCACGTACATAACGGATATGAACTATGTGCCAGAGATTGTCAAAGATACGGAATTAAAATGCAATTTGTTTTGTATCAATGGTTCTGATTGGATGATGATTAGCGTACAATTCTGAATCTACCTGTCTGTAACTAAGGGAAACCGACATTTTGAATTCCGGAATGTAATGACATGTGATTTCTTCAATAAGAAACAAATAACTCACATTTTTCACCTAAAAAGTCATCTTTTTGTCAAATTTTATAACAGTTTGAAGCGTAACTGAAGCGTACACGACTGGTGTTTTCGTTTGACACCGGAAGCGTAGTCTACCTATGACGTCATCTTGTTAAGTTGACAATAAGATGAATTTTCTTGGAATTTTCGTTTTATGAAAATTTTACATCAAAATAATGACGACGAAAATGAACAGATTTGTTTATTTTGCATTAGAATATTCATAACCGTATTGTATTTGAAGCTTGGTTTATACTTAAAACATTGTTTTACTGTAAAAAATATCCGTTTACCTGGCGTCGCTAGGTAGGTAAACTCAATTTGCGACACTTTTACGCAGGTCAAACTTTAAATACAATACAGTTATCTTTTTATGTGACAAAAGTCGGCAATATTGCGTATTGCTGTGTGTTTGTTTATTCCACATTGATTTCTCGCTGCGTTGAAGACCCATTGGTGGCTTTAGGCTGTTTTCTGTTCTTTGGTTAGGCTGTTGTCTTTTTGACACATTCTTCGTTTCGATTCTCAATTTTAATGATTTGATATTGACATTCCTGGGAATAAGTAAAATGTCAAAATAAAGTAGAGATATTGACACACTGTAAAAAACAACCTATCCATAATGGCGGCCTTAGAATAGAAAAAAAACACTGATATTTTTTGTCGTTCTTCTAACCTTTCTGAAGCAGTAAAAGTTAGTAGTAAACTTGCAATAAAGAATGAAATTTAGTATCATTTGGGAAACACGATGAGCTGGGGCATGTGGTATGTTTACAACTCAAGAATTATATATGAAGTTATTAATAGGAAAATTAATTGAAATCATCGTGTTTGCCATATACTAGTAGTCAAGACAGAGTACTTAAAATCATTCTTATCGAGATTTCTCATACAAGGTCAAATGCCCCAAATAGTTGCATTTTATAGAAAACTTACCACAACAATCTTTTCTGTTGTATATTTTGATTAGTTTTACCACACAACTGCTTTCCAAATCAACCCACCAATACGGGTTACTTTCGCCGTGCCAAGCATTATTCTTCCAGAAATATGTTGTGTGTATAACGGTATTGAAATTCCCATCAACAGCCAAACCACATGCATATCCATCCTTATATGAACTTTGCCCACATTTCTTATTTAATGCTAGATTCTTCTTACCACACGATCCTTGATAACAAAATGAAATGTTAATAAAATTGAGAATGGAAATGGGGAATGTGTCAAAGAGACAACAACCCGACCATAGAACAGACAACAGCAGAAGGTCACCAACAGGTCTTCAATGTAGCGAGAAATTCCCGCACCTGGAGGCGTCCTTCAGCTGGCCCCTAAACAAATATATATACTAGTTCAGTGATAATGAACGCCATACTAAACTCCAAATTGTACGCAAGAAACTAAAATTAAAAATAATACAAGACTAACAAAGGCTAGAGGCTCCTGACTTGGGACAGGCGCAAAAATGCGGCGGGGTTAAACATGTTTATGAGATCTCAACCCTCCCCCTATACCTCTAGCCAATGTAGAAAAGTAAACGTATAACAATACGCACATTAAAATTCAGTTCAAGAGAAGTCAATATATATATTGTAAGCTTACAGTGAGTTCAGTACTCAATTGAGAAGGTATGATTAGTTTATTTTTAGGGCCCTTGATTTTGAAAAAACACAATGTTGGGTGTATTTCACATATAATTCTGTATTTATTGTAACAATACCGGTTTTCGAGGGTCGCATATGTATATTCTAAAAGTTAATCTTATTAAATGTTTATTTTAAAAGTAAATCTAATAAAACATCACATATTTTGAAAGACGGGTCCAGCGGATACTTATATTTATAATATATCTTACATCAAGTACAAAGAACATGTTTCCCCGTTCGTTAGAAAGATTACATTTTATCATTTTTTGCTTTTCGCTCTCCCCAATGCGCAAATTACAATCACATTATCTTTCAGTTTCACATTTAATATATTTGAATTTCGTCCTATATATTTTTTGTTAACTTAAAGAACAGCCTTACCGAAGAGAAATCGGGAAAAAATATTTTGTTCTTTTAATGTAAGGCGCATATTTAAAACCAAAAGCTATTATCTTAATATTGTGCTCTCTTTCGTCAAACAAGTCATTTTAATGAAATGTTTATGTCGTCACTATAACACAACATCTATGACTTTAATGCACTTAAAATTAATATAATTGGTGAAAGGATTGGAGATCTTTAAACTTTTTTTGCAATTACAGGGCTAACTTCATGGCGCATATAGCTCATCGCTATAATTACTAAACTTAAAAATAAGTGCAATATTTCAACCTTTTTAAGGCAATATTATTAACTGAAGTATTTTTTTGCGTGAACCCCTGAACCCCTGAACCCCCGAGGGTTCACGCATATTAATTAGTTAGAAATATAGTCTATGGAGGAATATTCGGAAGCTAAATTATTCTTCATTCGGAACACTTATTCCTCTTATCTGTATTAGCCTCCTGCAATTAAGAGCATCTCCATACGGGGGTATCTGAGATATTTAAAACGTCGCAATAAAGAAATTGTCACAAATCGCGTATTCTCTTATCTGATATATGATAATAAACTAAATGTATCTATAGATCACTTTCAAACATGTATGTTAAAGCTATATTTATGCATCGTTAGTGTTTACTTGAGCAAAGTTGACAGTTGCAACGTTTGATAAACAAGTGAAAGTTAAATGGTCAATATTTAACGGCCTATGGTATCGAACATCAGTGCCAGATATTAATGGTGTTGTGGTTTCTACATAATGAGTTCTAGTAGGCTTTGGGATTTGTTGATTTGTAACAATAAATTTTATGCACATGTCATTTTGACAAATCAGATAAACAAAAATGTCCGTTTCAAAAACTGAAAATAAAAGACTGTGTGTTAATATTCCCAATAAATAATCATATTCTTAATAATAAAAAATATATTATATACTTTTTTAAATAAGGAAATAGATTTAACAAATGCATGTTAATCTTTCATGAAGTCTTTAAAAATATGTTATGAAAAAGAAAAAAAGAAGAAAAATATACAAAACAATTAACTCTAGATGTTTACACTGAATAAGCATACAATGGATTCTGTAAACATTGGAAAGTTAGAAAAAGAGTGTATTTGATCTTACGTTCGGGTATTTGCTTAAGCAATTATATATCAATATAAAAATTAAGATTGAAAATACATAATATAATGAGACCAACATTCTTTTAATAAATATATCTGAATTTATGAAATTGTGTTTTAAAATTAAAAATTATTATGAAATGTGGTTCCTTCAACCAACATACGTAATAAATCTCAAGACTTTAAACCTTTTTTGCTACCTAAATAAATGTTTGTTGCCTATAATTCAGAATTTTATCAGATTTCGGGATTTTTTGCTTAAAATTGTTAAAGCATGGGTCCCTTTTCAAAAGTCTCCCAACTACTACCTCGCAAGGTATTCTTGTTGGCATGCGTTTATATGCTTTTTTGACCTCGTGTGACTCAATTTTATTTCGGGATTTTTTTGAAATCTTTTGTATCTCGAATGTAAAAGTTAATTAAGCCTCTTCAATAATGGTTTTATAATTAGATCAAGAAATCTCTCAATGCGTCTCGTGGGAGAGTTACACTTATTGATAATTGGTCGGTAAGGAACATTTAATGTCTCCTACTATCATAACAGTTCGCAATGCATCATTAATGATGTCTAGATTTTTTTTGTGAATTTTTAAAAGAAGGTTCATGTGTCCATGTTTTGAATCATTATCATTCTTTAAGAAAGTATACGTCTGGGAATCCATTTCTTTTTATGCCCCCTACGTAGCGGTGGGGCATTACGTTTTACCCTTAACTGAGTTGGTTTCCGTTCTCTAACTTAAGTTTGCCTCAAACAAATGTTATGAAACTTATACACAATGCTTATTACCACAAAATACAGATCAAGTTTGAAATTGGTGGCGTCACTTTAACCGTTCTAGAGTTATGCCCCTTTTCAAATGAAAATTGCTGAATTTTTCATTTCCGTTCTCTAACTTTAGTTTTCCTCAACCAAATGGTATGAGACTTATACACAATGCTTATTACCACAAAACACAGATCAAGTTAGAATTTTGGTTGTGTAACGTTTACTGTTCTAGAGTTATGCCCTTTTACAAACATAAAAGTTTCCGTTCTCTTACTTAAGTTTGCCTCAACCATATATTATGAAACTTATATACATAATACCTATTACCACAAAAGTCAGATCAACTACAAATTTGGGTAGTGTCACTTTTACCGTTCTTCAGTTATGTCCCTTTAAAACTTTATATGATATGCAAGCAGGGGCATCATGTATGTCCCATGGACACATTCCCTTTTTATTTTCATCTCACTTTATAATTAACACCACTCTCATATTGTCATGATTTAAAATAATTTAAAAAGAAAATATCATCCTCCACACACATGGCCATGAAAGCACTGAGATATAATTTTTAATTTAGTTGAATTAATAAATAGCATAAAAAAGTTCTAAGGTTCACGTATTGTCTTTTTTTTTTTAAAAGCAACTTGTTTTAATCTCAAGCCCTCTGCTGTGGCACCCCTCCCCTTCCCAGCCAACAACACACTTGTCTCGCCTTCTAATTGACTATCTCATTAAATTGTTGGATTATCGCTTGTTTAGTAATTCTCCTGGTTAAATTATTTCGTTCAAAGTACTGCGTGAGTTTTTTCATCACGTTGTGTCAACCTTCCTCTGTATCGTTTGCTACTCAGTGTTTCTTTTGAAATTGTTTCGACAATTAAAAACTAGGAGAAGATGTTCACATTTGAAATCCTATCACTTGATTTGTGGATAAAAATTTCATGAGGTCTACACCGTACTGATTGACAAAAATTTCATAAATTTCGTAGAAATTTTTATATGCAAAATAAACCACATGTGGTCCTCTGTTGGTTTATTATATAGTTCAAAAATCCTAGATGTCTTTTCTAGAGGTTCAAAATTGCCATTTAAATGTATCATTTTTTATTAATATAAAAAAATTTACCCCAGTAAATGTATTTTCATTAAGGAAGAAAAGTTTTGAATAATCTAAGAAATGCTTTCACTTTTAAACCATATGTATTTAACCCGATCTCTTTGAGTCTGAAACGAATTCGTTTTGTTTTGTTCATTATACTTTACGTTATTCTTCAGTGTTTCATGATTAAAGAGAGATAAATTGTCAATGGGTTAACCAGTTGTAAATAACACTTTATTTGACATCGAAAAATAAGTACAATATTTAATCCTTTTTATGGCAATATTATTAACTCAGTGTTTCTTTTGAAAGGTTTCGACAATTAAAAACTAGGACAAGATGTTCACATTTGAAATCCTTTCATTTGATTTTTGGACAAAAGTTTCAAGAGGTCTACAGCGTAATGGTTGGCTGAAATGTCATAGATCTCGTAATTTACCATTGTTTATTAGGTTTATTTCATCATAGATATAATAGCCATAGATAAAGTACTCGACCCACATCAAACGCAGATGATAAATGCCGAAATTGTGTCACCCTCTTATTATATACATGTCACGCTTGGTGTTAATTAGACTTTATTGGCAATTGCCGTCGATCGATATCTAATAAATTGTGAATCGGAAGAGGAAGATGTCATTCTTCGGTAGTTATCGTTATCTTCCGGTACATCATTTACATTGGCAACCATGTCCGACACTGATGCGACTGATTTTACGGAAGAAGAAATTAATGAAATAATGAAAGATGACAGTTTTACCGAAATATTTTGCTATTGCTGTACACCTGCAGATGACAACATGATACAATGCAGTTCGAAAATCTGCGAAATGGAATGGTTTCATAGGGAATGCGTTGGGATTCCCGTAGACAATGAACCTCCGAATAACTGGATTTGGGATGAATGTAAACCGCAGAAGCAAATAAAAGGTAAACACTTTAATACTCGTGAAATGCAAGTATTTTCTATATTAGTGAAGAGTGGGTGGATATTTTTAAACTTTTAATCATACTGTTTCAAGAATTAAATGTTAAATAATAAGCATTCGCTTTTTTGTTGGCGCCGGCAAAAAACGATCTAGTTTACAGATTTATGCAATTCGGAAAACCGACTACATTTTAAAAACAGCAAATTTAGTTTAACATTTTAGACTTTGTTATTTATATT